CCATCAGTAATGTTTCTCTCTTTCTTCAATTTTTCTGTTTCTTCTTTCATTCTACGAACCCTAAAGTCGTGATACAAAAAAATCAATATTTTTCTCTCTTCAGCCTGTTATTATTATCATTATTTTTATCATTCTCTTTTTAATATTCTCTATTCTTTTTTCTCTCTTCTTGTTTATGATTTTCTCATTTTCTTTGAAAAAGATTTGTAGATAAATATTCTTGTAAGATTTTTCACTCTTTTCTTTTTCATGGTTTCCTCCAATTTTTCTATAGAGAAATCCATTTTAAATTAAAATTTTACAAAATTGTTTATTGATTTTAATATTTTTCTACAGGTTTGTACATATTGATATTGAATATTAGATTTTTTTATTTATTTATTTACATCAAAGAGTATTAAAATATTATATTGTATTTTGGTTGTTTATTTTTCTAATTCAGGTGACTTGTATTTTTATATTCTTTTATAAAATATTTTTATTGACGTAAAAAATATAATTTTGGTACTATGTATTGTGGATCACTTGGTCATGCAAGTAGAGGTTCACAAAGATGATCAACAATTTACATTCAAGATTTATTTTTATTTTTTTTTCTCTAAAATGAAAGTCTTTATAAGTCAAATGAATTCTATAAAAGTCTTTAAGAAAAGTCTATAGAAGTCATCAAAACTTTTCATTGATTATGTGACGAGTCCATGATAGTCAATAAAAGTCCATTAAACTCTACAAAAGTTATCTACTTAAAAAAAATCATTGAAAGTTTTTTAAAAATCCAAATCTGAATACACCCCCCTTAGCTCCTTGACAAGTTTCCATCCTTTTACTCATTTGATTTTCCAACCTATGAAAATGTTCAGATATTCTTCATTCCTAGTACAACTCTACATCAGTACAAATTGCCTGTTGAAAATTAAAGTTAGTTTGAACAAATTTAATTCCCGTGAGTGTCGAACGTATGTACCATATATTATTGGCATTATTCTGGCCTTTATACTCTTTCTGATTCCCTTATTTTCAATGTTAAACCAGTGCAAAAGAGAAGGCTTTCTTCAACGGATCAAAGAGGAAGAAGGCGAAGGGTGCAATGTATATGGATTCTTGGACGTCAATAAGGTAGCTGGCAATTTTCATTTTGCACCTGGGAAGAGTTTCCAACAGTCAAATGTGCATGTTCATGATCTGCTAGCATTTCAGAAGGACAGTTTTAATGTAAGACTTGTCCTGATCCCTTCCTTTCTGGAACAGCAACTAAGATATTTGCACGGCTTATCAACAAACATGATGCTTTCATTATTCAACTCGTGTTGTTATTCATTGTTGAGTAAGCATCTGGTTAACCAAATGTGTGATTGTGCAACAGATAAGTCACAAGATCAACAAATTAGCATTTGGGGACTACTTTCCTGGCGTAATAAATCCATTGGATGGGTATTTTGTCGTCTCAGTTAATTTGATCATTTAACTCTTGTACTTTAATCATTCCTCTTCAGATTCTTTGTCAATACATATATAATGATATTCTGCATTCTTGTCACTTCAATTTGCAGTGTGCTATGGGTACAACAAACACCAAATGCTATGTATCAGTATTTTCTGAAGGTTAGCAGAAATGATTATATGTCAAATTTTTGTTGCATCTATTTTCTTCGCATTTTTTCCTTGCTGATTCGTACATGCTTTTCTTATTTTGGAGAGAAAGGTGCATTATGGCTTTAGGTCACCACTTCCTATTACTCGCTAACATTTCTTATTCAATATTTTCCCCCTTTCCTTGATGGGAATTGCATGTGGAATTGTTCTCATTGATTTGGCATATACAGGGCCTGTTAAATAGTATACTTGAAAAGATTTTGGCATCTTTTTGTATCTTAATATTGTTCAAGTGTTGTAGAGTCCACCTTACCAAAAAAAATAGAGTATTTTACGATATTCAGGAGGAAGGGTCACGACTTGGAAGTGGAAGTGTATGATTTCCAGTAGATCTGAAAAATGTGTGTGGAATAATTAGTATAAATAAGAACATACGGTGTCTTATTGAGGACCCCGGTGATTAAAGCTCCAGCTGAAATTTGCAAGGCAGTTTTTCATAGTGAAGATGAGAACAAGGGGGTGGTGTGTGTATCTTTAGACAGCTGACTGGGGAGACAGTTATGTAGCTTGAATACGTTAGCTCTCACAAAGATCAAACACGTATTTTGGGGTAGTTTGCTTCTATGCATTTTCCCTTCAGATAGTGCTTACGATCCACATAGGATGTGGAAACAATGCAAGCATTGACAGAAGATATGGCCTCAAGGAGCTTTTAGGGTTTGTTTTGTGCCAAAAAGGTTAGAAAAGTTACAGGAGTCAATGATACAATGACTGTTGCAGGACATGAAAATTATGGTGGTGGACAGAAATTTGGCTGTTTAGGCACTATATTGGTGGTTAGAACAAAAACTTTTAATTTGTGTGATTTTGGATTGTTACATTAAGCTGGGGCTTAAAGATGACGTATATAAAAGTATGCTGCTGGATACTAGATTGTTAAATCTACCAGTTATGACATAATAGGGAACTTGTGCTACCAGCTTAGATAGATATGGAATAAGGCTTCATTGAGTCTGAGTTTTTATTGGTATGCTACTGATGTGGAACTGTAGAATACTAATTATTGTGAATGTTTTAAATTTTTTTATTCTGGATTGCAGGTGGTACCTACTGTATTCACAGATGTTAATGGGAATACAATCCAATCAAATCAGGTCTGATTAAGACGATAAAACTATATTCTCTTAATCTAGTTCTTTTTTCTCTCCTTTTCTTTTTCTTTACAAGTTTTTTTCTCTTCCTACTCGACATGAGATCCATTAGCTACTGTCTTATTGCAGTTCTCTGTAACTGAACATGTTCGGGGATCTGAAGTGGGTCAGCTTCAATCTCTTCCTGGAGTTTTCTTCTTTTATGACCTTTCACCAATAAAGGCGAGTGTGTTGTTTGACAAAATATAAGACAGAAGATCGGTTCTGAGTTAAATAATATTATTTTTTGAGTCAATTCAGTATTCAGGTTTTGTATTATGCTTACACTTCCTGTGCTTCAAATTACTTTTTCGATTCCATTTTTTTGCTTACTTTTAATAATAGTAAACTTAAAATCTGTATACAAGGGATTAAGCTAATGTTGTCCTGTAGCAGAAACAACATAGCTTCTAGATAATCAGTCGCAGCATGTGTAAACTTCTTCCTATCTTTTGATATTACAGGTGACTTTCACAGAGACGCACGTTTCATTCTTGCACTTCCTGACCAATGTATGCGCCATTGTTGGAGGTAATACTAAACAACAAACACCGAAGTATTTCTTTATTTTCAGGTTTGCACGCCTCAATAGTTGCTTGAATTGTTTGATGAACTTGACTTTCTTCCCTACATTTTGCATACTGCCGCAGGTGTTTTCACTGTTTCGGGGATAATAGACTCGTTCGTTTATCATGGTCAAAAAGCGATCAAGAAGAAGATGGAGATTGGCAAGTTAAGCTGATGATTGATGCTCTCCTCCAATGTTATAGCTCTGTCTCGCTTCTTACCCATCAGCAACATCTTTCTGGAAAGGGAACAAAGATTTGGATTGGGTTTGTTCCGATGTGTTTGTTAGTGAATCGACTAACGTTTGTAGTTCATTTTATAGCAAGTCTTTTTGAGGATCTACTATTTGCATATTGATGTCGACCCTATTAAGGTGAGGGTCTTTTTCACATTTCATGGCAGAATTTTTCGGAAATTTTAATTTTTGGACAAATTATCTTCAAATTTAAACTGGCGATGTGATGAATATCTTGCCATTGTTGTCTTGAGACTCTTCACTCAATTGCTACCTTTATACGTATGTAGAGTGAACAAATGCATAGTAAAGTTAAAACTCGAGGAAGAAACAGAATTTGATGTTCAACACCTTTAGGCTTTTATGCTTTGGCACTTGTAAACTATGAATTATATATATTTATTATATAATAAATAGAATAGAGAGAGAATAGATTGTTGCGTGTTTTATGTATAATGGGAAAAGTGGTGCGTCGGCTGGCAGCGATGAGTTTCTGGATTTTGTTCTAAAGAATAGGAACACATTTAAAATTTCTCTATGCAAATCCAAGTAGTTGAGATTGTTTTGTACAATTAATAATGTTCGACTCAAAAATTTCGATAGCTTTCACATGACGTATGCTTGGGCTGGACCAGTACCCATTGTTTGTTTGATGATCACAGATTCTAGAGCCAATATGTTCAAAAAAATACCAAACTTCTTCGGATTTCAATTAATTTTAAAAACAGCTAATTTTCATTCATAATAATTTTCGATATTAAATTTCAATTTAGATAAACCTTACATAACAACACAAAGAAACATGAATTTCAGCTTTAAAAAAAAAAAAAAAGAGAGAGAATAGATTGTTGCGTGTTTTATGTATAATGGGAAAAGTGGTGCGTCGGCTGGCAGCGATGAGTTTCTGGATTTTGTTCTAAAGAATAGGAACACATTTAAAATTTCTCTATGCAAATCCAAGTGGTTGAGATTGTTTTGTACAATTAATGTTCGACTCAAAAATTTCGATAGCTTTCACATGACGCATGGTTGGGCTGGACCAGTACCCATTGTTTGTTTGATGATCATAGATTCTAGAGCCAATATGTGCAAAAAAATCCGAACTTCTTCGGATTTCAATGAATTTTAAAAACTACATATTATACCTTATTAGCCAATTTTCATTCATAATAATTTTCGAAATTAAATTTTAATTTAGATAAACCTTACATAACAACACAAAGAAACATGAATTTCAGCTTTAAAAATAAAAAAAAAAAAAGCAGCTGACCAACTGAACTGACTCAAAACTAATTATAAGGCTAAGCTCTGCAATTGCCAAAAACTCCACTGCCGGAGCTCAACCACAAGACGAAACACCTATTACACGACAATTACAAATAGACGGGGACATATACTACTACACATAAATAGAATTATAAAGCCGACCAATCAATTTCATATGATGGATATTTCTCCAATGAATTCATGTCCCATGGCGAATCCTCTTCTGTGAAATCCAGGAATGTTAGATCCGAGACAGGTGATGACCCACCCGACCCTTCACTCTCAGATGCGGGTTCAACAACATTCTTGGTGGAACTTTCTTCTGCAGGGGCCTCCACGGCTGGTGCCCATTTTTTGGACCTTCCTTTGGACTTCTTGGAGTCTATGCTCTTGCCCTCAGCTAGGTTTTGGCAAATAACCTGCAATTTGGCGTCGACGCTGGCATGGAGTGGCTTGTACTCCCCAAACTCGCCGCCGATGTGGGATCCGTTGTGGCGTAGATGAGGGAAGTTCAGCCTAGCAAAGTCTCCACGAAGCTTATACGCTGCCTTGTCGTAGGCCAACGCCGCCTCCTCCGCCGTGTCAAATGTGCCAAGCCAAAGCCGAGTTCGGTTCTTTGGCAAACGGATCTCAGCCACCCACTTCCCCCAGTGGCGCTGCCTCACTCCCCTGTATAGCTTAGTGGGCTTAGAAGAAGAGCCCACTTGTTTCATCGGAACAGGCTTTGGGCCCAATAAGTTCATGTTATGGGCCTGTCTGTGAAATGGGCCGGAGGCCATTTGTCCGTGGTTTTGGAGATTTATCCGTGCTTGGATTTCTTGGATCTGGGCTTGGGTAAGGTGGTTGAGCCCAATTGAACGAGGCTGTTGATACACAAAGCTCCCACCATCCAAGTTCATATTGGGCTGGAAATTAGCCTCTGTTGGGTAATAGCAAGAATTGTAGGGATAAGAACTGGAGGTAGAAGGAGGAGAAGAAGAAGAAGAGGAGGAGGAGGAAGAAGAAGAAGCGAGATTGGAAGGAGGAGAAAGAGGAGTGGAGGAAGCACTTTTCATAAAAGGTTCAAGTGCTTCCATTAATTCACCACCTCTAAAGGGATCTACAACTGAAGTGCTGCTACAACAAAAATCCATTGCAGCTGCCATACTAAAAAAAAACGTTACCTGTTTCTAAATAAAATCAAAGAACACAGGTTGTGTTTTACAGAAAAATATTAACAAAAAAAAAAAGGCGGATTAGAAGAGGTTTACAAATAAACAACCTCTTAGATCCTGTGGCTAAGTAAAAAAGCAGCCAAGAAATGAATCAGAAAAATAAAAATAAAAAGATCTCGATCTGAAAACACCTGGCTTTCTGAAAATCTTTCTCTGATGAGAAAATCAAGTCAGTAAAACAAACCTTAAAACTTGAAAGACAGATTGTTTGCAGAAAGGGATCAAAGAAGCGGGGGGGATTAGAGGGGGGAAGAAGAAAGAAAATTTTGTTCAAATCAAATTGAAAAAACGAGAAAAAAAAAACCCAAAAACTCGCAGAAAAGCTTGATTTTAGTATGTGCAAAAGTGTGTGCTAGGTGAGAAGAAAACCTCACTTTCTCTATGCGGTGTTTATCTCCTCACCTGCTCCTTTATATAATGGCAACAGCCCACTACTTTCTCTATCTAACCCACCTTGTAAAACACGCTTTTTCACTTTCTCGTCACTATTCACTTAATTAATTTACACGGCGTTTGAAGCAGTTGTCCACTTGGTCTTGTTTGGCGTCAGCATTTGTTTGTTTTAACCAATGAGAATCAACATAGTGTGCGAGGAACTTTGGGCCTTCACCGGCAGCTGTCGGTCCGCTCACTTTATTTGTTGACTGTGTTTACGCGTTCACACATGGCTGTCTCTTTCCTATCATTTATTCCAAAAAAATAAAAATATTTTTAAATCGTTCATATTATTATTTAAACATTAAACCCTTGTTTGATCCGCATCAAACCTATGTTTTAGGTCCACATTTAAATCTAATTTTAATCAAAGTTAAAATCAATATTAACCACATCTTTCATGGGTCCCCATATGAACTAAATGATTTAGCTAAGAATTTTAATCACCTCAAGATTAGAGGTCATGTTTGAACACTAAGCTTTGTTCGTTTCGTTGAGTGACGATTGGATTCATCTTCCTTCATTCCTTTCATACACCAACCTCATCTGTCGTGTCTAATGCCCAAAGTAAAGCATTGAAATAGCAGAGGGAAATAGTAGAATCTTTAACCTAAACAGATGAGAATATATTACCATACCAGAATCAAGAAAAAGAATAGTTTGGTCTTCGGTGCTTTCTCTTCCTTCCAAATCAAGGATAAAAGTCAGAGCTTAGTCCATAATGCAGGAATTCGCTTTCTCAACAGGCGAATCAATCGACGCAGATTTAGAAGCGTCGATAATTAATTTTAACTATATATTTAATAGAACTAAAAATGTTTTATCAATTTTTCCAATATACATTTTTATCAACTTTTATTAAAGTAAACACGGACTTCGAGTCTTTAGGCGCACTTCACGTGCCTTGAACAACAATGACTGAAAATACCAAAGCAAGTTGGCAGTGATCACGTGCAATTTTTTCTATTTTCACTCAACAGTCACAACTTTATTTTTCTTTTTCTTTTTTTCAATGACACGTTCTTCAATAAAATAATACTACACGTAAATTCAAAATTTTTCTTTATTTTTTAACCATACATTCTCTATCAATCTACTATTTTAAAATGCATTTTATATAAAAAAAAATGAGCTCAAACATTGTATTAGTATTTTCGTACAAAATCGTACATAAAACAATAAATATTTAATTTATAATAATGCTAAGTCACGTGACAATGTAGTGTGTATTTGTTTTTAGCTTTGTTAATTTATTATTACTACTTGGTGGTGGCATGATTAAGAGTATAATACAATATCTATTGCCGTAAGTGGGAAGTATAAGAATAATTTTGGAGTATGATTGAAGTTTATAATGAGAGATCAACCACAAACGTCGATATTTTTAATCGAGTCAAAAGTAGAATAGGATATCTTAATAATTGATGTGAGAAGAAATAATTGGAGTTGATTGAGATTTATACTAAAGATTAAGCATGTAATGCGCATAATCGAGGCGAAAATGTAACTCTCTGAATGATGAGTGATTTTCTCAAAATCAAGTTCGAGTAATATTGCTGAAGAAAGCATTTGAATTCTTAATAATTAGAAGAAAATCAGAGTAGTTTTCCGTTTGTAACGTCGTTATGAACAATATTATCGCGTCAAAACATCTTTGACTCGCACCGGTACAAACCCTATAGCAAATTAATTAAACCTGCCGACACCGAAAAGGCCATTTGCATCGCTATCCCAACCAACAAAACCCCAATTGCCACCAAAGTCAATGAAGGAGAAAATGAAATTAAATGGGAGGAGACAAATAGATTCCACGTTTTAAAACAATCATAAAATCCAAGTCAAATGTAAACCCCACCACCATTATCGGAACCCCATATGAACTTAATGAATAGGCATCCCTATGAAAAATAGTTAATACTTAATAATGCTAATGACTTAGTAGATTTTATATAGTATTTGTTGAACTCGAAATCAGGTGATATTGTCTGATCAAGACTAACAGATCTCGACTCCTCTCTCATTTATGTGTATATTATCTAAACACTTTGACAATTGCGTTAGATTGCTCGTGATGATATGTTCAAACTACGATCACGAGAGGTTTAATATGATTGTCCAATTGTACATCTTGTTGTAATTATTTCAATGAACATGCTAAGAATAATAATTACATATATTAATTTATGGTTCGAAATTTATACCTGCGGAAGACATTATTATGAATATTACCAGTTAGATCTTCCTCCCCCTACTCCTCAAATCAATCAGCCGTCAATGGGACAAGCCAATAAACGATATGGAGAGGAAGGAAGACATAGCCATTATATAGGAAATCATAAAATCAGTCCATTACCGACTCTAAATCTAATTAGAGTTTACATAATTCCAGTCCATATACTTAAAATTACCACATTATAATAATAAAGCCCGTAAGGTGTACAACAGTGCAAGTGATCACTAACATATTATGTTCAATCACAATATCATTGCAAACCATACATCTGACCTATAAATTTCGCAACCATTTTAACACATCTAACATACACATGAATGGAAGAGAATTTGAGATGTGTTGATCACGCGACATCACCTAATTTTGAGGTCAACATATAACTTTCCTTTATTCTTAGGCGCAAGTCTCTGAATAGTTACAATCTTGCTATATGTATATTTTGGTTTACATTCTGACTTATCAAACTTACACTGGGTATAATCTCAAGCCACATTTCACATCTCACACATTTAATTCGATTATTATAATACTTTCACGTCATCAATCCGTCAATAGAGGTGTCAATAGAGGTGTACAAATAGCTTAATTGGAATAGTTAAGGGCATGTTTCCTTGGGAGTTAATTTAACCGGTCAATTTAATCAATGGTCACTCAACTTTGCTATAAGTTACTATTTGTTTATCGAAATTTAAAAAATTACTCTTTGATCATCGAACATTACTGTAGGCTACTACTTGCACACGAAAAGTTAAATGGTTATTCGTTGCTCACTAAAAATTGAACAAAGTTACCTATCAATCACCCATATAATTTTTTATCAGCGTTACTTGTAGCAAAGTTCAATAAACAACGAGTAAGTTTTTAAACTTTTGGTGAATATGTAGTAATCTATAACAAAGTTCAGTTATTATTGATTAAATCATCTCGTTTTGTTGTAAAGATCAAGGGCCCCAAACTAGAATTAGAAATAGTTAATTTTATTTTGTTTTATTTTATTTCTTGAGCAAGTTGAGTGATCCAAGAATTATTGATTCAGATTGGAGATTGAGTGAGTTGGGTGGATTTGGGAAGAAGAAAGTACAATTTTTCAATTTTTTTTTTTTTTTGGTTATTTAATGTGGTAAATATAAAAGCATCATTTTACCTTCATTGAAATTGATTATAACAGGGTCAAAGTTAAATATTTGGTCTACTGACAAAATTGTGGATGGAAACTGTCAAGAAGTGCTTCACCTGCAACGCTTGGAAATATTATGGTTGATGGCTGCAACAAATCAAATGTTCGAGGTTTTTACTACAATTATTCTTTAAATAATAAATTTCTATACAGTAAAACTTAGCTAAACGATTGTTAAAAAAAAATCAATAAATGAACGCTCAAAAACTAATAATCTATCGATCATTAAAAAAAATCCATAAATGTATTTTCATCATTAAAAAGGTGTTTAATAATTGTACCAACAACAACATTTTCTTTTGAGATAGAACTAGAAATAAAGAGAGAATGACTCTATTTAGCTCATCATCCACTTTAACATATTATGCTGCAATGCCAGAATCATTGACACAATGGTTGACATAATACCATGTGACGATTTATCATTGGACTGTTTAAAACACATTCATCTTTTCCATCAAATCATTTTTCGCCACATAGGATTTTGCCAACCTCTATGTCATAATTCATCTGGCAAAGTGGTTTAATCCTTAACATTTATGTTTTCTTGAGATAGTTATCAATATAGTGGTAAAATCGACAAATGACGTTTTCATATTGAGCTGTCATCAATTTAAAAAAGATAAAGGTGTCAAATCACTCAAAAAAATTGAAAGTGACTTGCATGGCAAGACCATTTTAAGGATGTATTTTTTCACATTTTTAACAACTTCAACTTTTAAAATGGCTGGACAATCGGTAACAGCCTTTAAATCATTCAAATTTAGCCCCTGTTTGACAAACCTTAAAAGAGATTTTTTTTTTTTTTAATATAGAAAATTAGTTTTTGAATAGTGATTTTTCAGAAAAATGTACAATTATTTTATTCTGTGAATGTGTGATTGAAAATGAATTTTGAAAATTTATTTATTTTTAGAAAATGGACGACAAACAGGGACTTAATTACCTAGTTCAAGTCTTTCTTTTTGGTTCAAGAATCCAAGGATTAAAATGCACAATTTTTTTTACTCAAATGCTGTGGAAAGGCCTATCATTTACAAACTAAAAGTCTTTGTTTCATTTTCTTTAAAAAGT